GTCTATCCATTATTTCTTTGTTTGGTTTTTTAAAAAAGAGACCCTCTTGATCATATCTTGAACTGTACTGTGATGGTGGCTTCTGGAACTCTGTGCAAAAGTGCCTGAAGTGCCCGAAAAAATCATGCTAGAAAGCATAGACAAGTGTCTCAGTTGTTAAAACTTGCCATTCATTACAATTCCTGTTAACAGCTCTTTTAAGAGTAGACAGTAAGCTTTATAAGATTGTTCAGCTGCTAATAATAAGATTGATAATAAGAATAATAAGTTCAGCTCCATAATAAGTTCAGCTCCACAACAGAAGCAAAAATTTGGGGAACTTTATAAGATAAGCAAGCTGGGGAATGCCAGGATTTTCAGCCTTTTGCTTTCTCCTGAAAGAGGCATCATTGTTTGTGTAAAACCATTTTCAGAAACATCATGGTCTTGCCATGATATCTATCCTCAATTTTGCACGTCTTGCACCTGAGACTTTTTGTTGTAATGACAGCACTTCTCCCCCATGGAGTATTCTGAATGTACTCGGGCAGCAAAATTTCTTGCTGAACTAGCTAACTGGTCAGGTGCTTCAGCTATAGCCACAAAATGCCACAGGGTTGTATGATAATGTCAACAGTCTCAAGAGTCTGACCCGTATGAATGAAACTTATTTCAAGGCAGTCTTGCAAATAGCTACTGAGAGGATAGCCCTCTGCCCCACTGCTCTAATAACTTGTCCCTCCTTTTTATATAGGGCTGTCACTGCCTGTGAGTATTCTCTTTGCCAAGAGAGTAAGTACATAGAAGTTACTTCCAGTCTGTTGTGGTTTCCCATCAGCGAAACACAAGGCCAGCACAGGGTCACCTCAGTCAAGGGTTTGTGTCTAGATACAGGCACCCATGAGCTCCTGTCTCCCACATTGGGGAAGTACAGTGGTGTGTTATTACTGCTGTGCAGTATTAGTGTTATTACAGTGGTGTGCAGTATTACTGCTGCAAGTGATCACTTTGTACTTTCCCATGACATGAAAGTTGCATTGGTTCACCTGGTTCTTAGTTTATTACTGCTTTGAGGGAACCAGCAAGTATCTAGTGCAAGGGTAATTTAAACATTAGATGACGGTTCTCTTTTTCCCAAAACAGTGGGGAAGAGAAATTTGGAATTAAATAGGAGTCCTACACATAAAAAGAGAGAATCTGAACCTAGTAAATTCTCTAGTAACAGATTGGTTTGCTGCCACCACCTTAGCGTTCTTAATAACAGATGGAGTGCAGCCTGTTTGGTGCAATTAGCATGGTACTTGGTTCCCACTGATGATAGTAAAGAGTTGGTGCTGGGTTCAGGGCAAAGAGGCATAACTGGCAAAATCCTGAGAAGCTTTAAATGTTCTTGTATACATATACATAAGAGCAGTACATTACACCTCACTTCACTGTTGGATCTGTGCAAAGAAGGAATATAAATGTGAGGAGCTGGTGGGAAAAACTGGTAAACAAGCAAACCTTATACATGGTTTCCTTTTCCCACTCAAGGACTCCCCCCAATTTTATCAATGGAAAACTTGGGGAAATGCTAAAAAGAAACCCCTGTGAAATAATTCTATTTTTTCCCAGTTTTTCCTGACTGGAAAAAATTGGCGATTCGTTGTAGCACTGGAAAAAAAAACTCCTATGATATACTTTCTCTTTATTGAGTGATGAAAACCTTGTCTTACGGAACATTTCAGTCATTCCAAATGTACAGCAACAAAAAATTTCTAAATTTTTCTAGTAAAAAAAATTAGAAAAGTTTGGGGAACACTAAAAACCTCTTATTCTATAGCCATATTATTTCAGGATTTTTAAATTTAATGTAACTCTATTTTGACCCTATGAAAGTTTCTGTCCAAATAATACACTTTCTTTTGTTTACTAGAGAATTAAGAAAAAGCAAAACAGAAAAGAAACCTTCTATAACAAACCCCTGTATCTCCCCAACTGACATATATTTCTCACAAAATCTTCTTTCAGACATTTCAAGTTTTCCTTTAGATATTACAGCTTTTCACTAACTCCTGAGGTGTCTAAGCTTCTCTCCTTTATCACAGACCAGGGTTCTCTTCCCAACCCCTTTCACTGGCAGGAAGTTATTCTCCTTGTCCCTAAGAAGCAATAACTCCTTTTACTATTTGGCTTGTCTGGGGGTTCTCTCTAACTACCCAGACTTTCTGCCAAATCATTCTCCAGTATCCTTTGTCTGTATCAGATTTAAAGTTCTCCCTCAGAGCAATTTTAATAAATCTCTTCTTCTCTTTGTAGAAGTACTTGTCTGACTATTTTGCCAGGCCTTTGGTTGAGGCAATGGGCGTCCATCACACATGGCCTCCCTGCTCTCAATCTGCCGCCCAATCTGTTGAAATGGCCCACTGATTCCACCTGTGGCTCTGACAGATGTGAAACTCTTACTACCTATATGAATTTGTATTGTTTTAAGTGTTTTTAATGTGATTTTATTGTAACAAGTCTTGGACTCAGCTTTTGTGATCTACCCTGAGCCCACTTTGGGGAGGACGGAGTAAAAATCTCAAAAATAAAATAATAAATAAAATATTGCCTGTCAGAAAACACTGACTCCCTGTGGCTACTGATCCAGACGTTAGAAAGTCCAAACAGTGAAAGACCAATTTGCAAAAGACCACTTTCCCCTCCAGATCAGCTGTTTTATTTTCTCTCTCAGCTGATGCCGGCCAATCAGAGAGTGAGCAGAGCAGCCAATCACCTAAGCTCTTCTCTCCAGGAAGACTAGAATTCCCTGACTCTCTGATACAAGCAGCATTTTTTTTAAATTACCTGCTTTTCTGTGCAGTCTGTCATACCATCTCTAGCAAGGAGTTCATTCCACATAAAGAAAATTTTGATGAGCGGTTTCATTTCCAGGACCTTAGGTAGACACAGTGACAGTGACCTTGGACTGATCTTGGATAAGGAGCAATTGAGTGTGGCCTTGAGATTCCCTGTCTATGTAAAGTGAAAATGTTAATTTGGGATAATCTCAAGTGAACATCTCCTATATCCTTTGTGCTCTAAAGAAGGCTCAAGATGTAATCTCCTTTTAGAAACGTGGTTTTCATGGTTTAAAATCCAAATGGTTAGTTTAAAGGTTTTTGTATCCTTATATTACTTGATTGGTTGATTGCTAAAAATAAAGCAGAGGATAGTATAGTGGAAATAATGATTCAGAGAGAGAAACAAGGGGCAGAGGGTTATAGAGAGAAAGAGACTACAATACAATACAGTCTTTATCATAGTTGATTTTCATTGAGGCAGTTTGAGTTTCCACGGAAACTAGATCAAAAAGCCTTTTTGCTTGACAGCCAGTATATTGTATGCTGTTTTCATATGCTTGCCATCAGATTAAAACCAGCAACTGCTAGTTTTACAAATCATCTTCTAGTGCTTTCAAAATCCTTTTAGTGTTGAGTACTTTTAGAAGGTAGAAGCAGGTAAGAATAAAGAAACATCTTCTAAATGTTCTCTTTGACAAGTGACAGATTGGCTGAAAAGAGAGGGGACTTTTTTGAGAGTATGTAACATAAGTCTTGCAGCACAACACACAGTTTGAACTGGATGTTTTAGAATTAAACTGGTTTGGGAGGCAGTGTTGTACATACCTGAAAATAAATTATGTGGAATAAAATGTATATGTTGCATAGTGTCTGTTATCAAGAAGGAAAATGCATGTACTTAAGAACATAAGAGAAGCCATGTTGGATCAGGCCAATGGCCCATCCAGTCAAACACTCTGTGTCAAACAGTGGCCAAAACCCAGGTGCCATCAGGAGGTACACCAGTGGGGCCAGGACTCTAGAAGCCCTCCCACTGTGGCCCCCCAAGGATCATTGCCCCACACATAGTGTCCCATCTGTACTTTGTGGCTAGTAGCCACTCATGGACCTCTGCTTCTTGAAGCTGTCTATGCTTGTAGCCACCGCCACTTCCTGTGACAGTGAATTCCATGTGTTAATTACTCTTTGAGTGAAGAAGTATGCTAGACACATATTGTCATGAATAGGGGCCATTAAATAGCCTAAAGTTCTACCATCTGTCACTCCTGAGAGCTTATGGCTTAGGTTTTATACCTGTCTTAAGGAACAGCCAGATCTATGCAGTTAGCAACACAATGACAGTAAATGGTACCCCTATAAACTTGAAAGGAACACTGAGAATCTGAATAGAATGAATTAGGATAGAAAATTTATTCAGGGGAACTGAGGAATTAGCACACTCAAGAAAACACACTCAAGATCGAGGAATTAGCACACTCAAGACAAAATAATATGGCCCTAGCAGAATAATTCCAAATAGTATAAAGAAAGGGAAGTATTATGTTGGGAAGGTGGTGTGCTGGAGTAGTCTTGGTCTGATTGGGGAATCTGAATTTGGAGGGCAATTCAAACTTTGATTAGATTATTAGGAAGGCAATTCTAAGAAACACTTTTTGTTGCATAGACTTGTGTGGGAAAGTTTGGTGGTCAGATAGTAGAAAATGCTTCAGTTAGCATGATGAGGTTTGAGGCAATCCTATTCTAAACTAGTTCTCCGCTTCTGTCTTGGCAGTGGCCAAAAACCTTGTTCACTGGCCTGATGATGTAGGATGCAGAAAGATGGGGCATCAAGATGGGACATGGGAAGGCAGGAGGAAAAAAGGAATAAAGTATAGGCAAGCTAGCAGCATGGCAGGCACAGTCCTAAGCACACTTACTTACTTGATCAGGCCCATTGATTGAAATGGGATTCAGGTCAGTACTGCTAGTATGGTAAGGAATTAAAGGAGTACAGGATGCTTTGTGAATGCCAGATTATAGATAATGGATGGATGCTAGGAGATAGTATAGAAGTAACCTTAATTAATTAATTAATTAATGCTAGACCAATGAATATGAATACTGACCATACACCAAATACAACGTCATATAGAAGACTGACCTCTTGCGATCCTTGTTCAGAAGTTAAACATTTTCTTATGTTATCTCCTGTTTTAGGAAGGGTGTTTGTGGCCTTCAGACAACTCTTCTGCACGCCAGGGAGCTTCAGAGGTAAGTTTTCACTCACGTTTCAGTGACCTGCATTTCTGTTTATGTAGCATAACTTGCCCCTCATGCTGCTATTGACTGGCAGATGGGGCTGTAGCTTTGATCCATGGAATTGAGAGAAAGTGTCTTCAAAGTATGTTTTTACCAGAATTCAGTGTTAAAATGATCAGTGGGATCTTTGAGACAGGGAGGTTCGAAAAAAGTCCTGCTGTGCAAATGACAGCATATTTATAGTGGGAATTGAGGGAACTCCCTGGTGAACTGATTCTGGGATCTTTTTGTGTTCTTGTCATTGGGTGGTGCTGAGAAAGGCAGATTATTTTTTAAGTGAGATCATGTTTTGGGGTTAGAAATTTCTTACTCTTCTGAAATTCTTTTGATTTATTTTTAATGAGGATGTGAAAGGAGGAGTCTTGTTTAATTATTAAACAAGGTTGCTATTTTCTAATGTTTCCTATTATAATTCATTTGTTGAAGGAAAATCCAGTGGTGGTTCTAAGATTCTTCCTCTGCTTAATTTGTACTGTCATTACAGTTCTTCTGCTCTTGCTTTAGTTAGGTTATGTAATGCCTCTTAAGAACATTTTCCTTTTTTGAAGCTATTTCCAGATAATGCTGCTTGTATTTATTGTTGGGGTGCATGTTTTGTGTTGCTCTGTGGATTGTCATTGTTCCATATGTTAACTTGTTTAGGTCAAACTTTATTGGTGGAATAATAGTTTCTCCTTCACATTACAGATCATGTATGCCCCACGGTCCAGAGACAGGTTTACTGCTCCATCCTTTATGCAGAGGGAACATTTCAATCGCTTCCAGCCAACGTATCCATACATGCAGCATGAGATTGATCTGCCTCCTACCATCTCCCTCTCTGATGGCGAAGAGCCGCCACCGTACCAAGGGCCATGCACACTGCAGCTTCGGGACCCAGAACAACAGATGGAACTCAACCGAGAATCCGTCAGGGCACCACCCAACAGGACTATATTTGACAGCGACTTGATAGACATTTCAATGTACAATGGGGGCCCTTGCCCACCAAGCAGCAATTCGGGCATAAGTGCAACCAATTATAGCAGTAATGGAAGGATGGAAGGACCACCCCCGACTTACAGTGAGGTCATGGGGCATTATCCCGGTTCCTCTTTTTTCCATCACCAGCAAAGCAATGCACCTCCTTCATCACAGAGGGGAAGCAGACTTCAGTCTCAGCAGAACAATTCAGAGAGCACAATAGTCCCTGTTAAAGGCAAAGACAGGAAACCGGGTAACCTTGTCTAGGTTTCTTTTCCATGAGCACTTGAAGAGAGACGGGAGAATCAAATGGGAGCATGATGGAAGTTTCAGTGCTCCTGTGCACAAAGTTGTTAAGTTTCATGTAATACAGTTTAGTAAAACCAAACACGTAAAACTGTTCTTAGTTTCTGATTCCTGTCGGGGGAATTGCATGAAAAGCGGTTTGAAATAATTACAACCTTCCATTCAGTTTGGCCACGAACAGTGTTTTTGGGAAAATATATTTTTTTTAATAAACTATTTGAATTATTTAATTCTAAGAGAGAACTTAGCACAGAAATATGGCGTGTACAGCCTGTTTTATATTAAGCGAATGGCTAAAAGAAGAGAAAGAGTTACTAGGTTAATGGGGGCAAAATCGGCCAGTTTGCTTTCCCCTCCCCAGCCCTGAATGTGGAATTTTTTTATGACTCAGCATTTCTGTTTTGTGTGCCAAGGTATAAAGTTTTTAAAAACCCACAAAAAACTAGATGAATTCAAGGGGTTAATTTGTGTTGTGATACAAGTGTGTTAAATTTGCACTATCTTTTAATGTTTTAAAGGTATATATATGAGGGAACTGTTTAACATGACATTCTTCTGTTGTCTTTTCACCTGTGGAATGACGATTCCTGAGCAACCCTCTTCAGGACTTTGCCCAACCCTCTATTAATCATCATCAGTATGAGACTATGGAATTTAATATTTACTATTTTACATAAAATTAAGTAAATGACAGAGGACTTTAACATGTTACCTTTGCAATAATTTGCATTCAACTAGCAGTGCATCAGCAAGATGTATGGCTGGAAGAAAGGAAATGTTAAAATTATGGAAGTCACCTCATAGAGATGGTTTTCGCTATAAGCCATTTGTTTAAGTAGAAGCAGATGGAAATGCCAGACACATTTACATTTTTTTGTAATTATAACAAATTCTTCCTGCTTGTTTCCTTTCTCTCTTTTTTAACAATGCCATGTCAGCAGATTTTTTTCTTTCTCCACTGTAGCCCATAACAAATTCAGTCATATAGCATGACATCCTACAATAAATGGTATTAAAATGCAAGGTGGGTTTTTCCTGTTAAATTAGACTTCTGTTGTGCTTCTATAGAACCGTTTGTCTCCTAGTGTTGAGGATCCATCTCACTCAGGTGGATGGATCGCTCTTCAAGCCCTTCTTCATTTTACACTGTTTCTTTAATTGGGTAGGCATTGCTAGTGGGGTCTGTGGAGCCTGTACCCTTAGACTGCTACTGGGAATTGTTTGGGGAAATCAGGTGATTAGGTTGAAACTGGCATAGCCCCATCTTTATTCTTTGACCTGAATTGGTTTTTATCAAAATCTGCAAGCAATCATGTTAATGTTTTAGGATTGGGTACTTTCTTATTTCATACTGGCTTTGCTTTTAGGCTGTTATTTCAACATGTAGTCCTACAAAATCCCAGTGAATTTGTTCTGTAGTATATTTGGGGATCATTGCCATTAATTTGAGTGCTCACCATCTTTATTGCAGCTAATGCAAGCATTTGAAAGGCAATTTGAAGGAGAGTGGTTGTGAAACCAAGAGCACACACAAAGCACAACAGGCACCTAAAATGCAGTTAGCAAATGGACTTTAAAAGAAAGCAGAGAATCTCTAGAGTCTTAATTTTGATATTCCATGGAGAGTTGTAGTTGCATAGTAGAGATTTCTTTTAGGGGGTCTCCCTTTTCAACAGTCTTAAGCATAGCATTTTGCTAATCAAAATAGTGACAAGTGCACCCAGCTGCACTATACAAATGTACTGTACTGTATCTCTTGTTCTGTTTGCCGAAGCTTGGAGTTTTGTAGGACTTAAAGTAACTTAGACTGAAGCCTGATAGCTGAACTGAATCTCTGATCTATGCAGAGTTTTAATGCCAAAACAGCATGTGTAGTGTGTTTTGCTTTTGTTGTCCTTTTGTAAAAATGCTTTCATAAGCCTAAGGTGGCCCATGAACTCAACAGTGAATTTGAGGAACACTTAGATAATAATTCTATTCTAAAAACAGAAGGACCTTGTTTGTAGCTGGACAGAACTCACTTGCATATTGTCCTGAACTAGCTCCAATGTACAAGCTGCTCTCTTGCCTTCCGTAGTATCCCTGTGTTGTCTTTAGTACCTTTGTCACATAACTGTATAAATATCTCATGGTAGCTTTAATTCTGAGAATTGGCTATCTCAGCTCAGCTATCACAACTTTTTGTTTCTCGTGCTCTATACCTTTCAATGGAGGCAAGTGTATCCAGGTGATTTGATAGTGTCCATTTAATAATACCTGCTGGATCGGTGTTTAGTGAGAGAATTGTGGGGTATTCTCGAACACCTGCCTCATTTGATTTTTCTGAGAGAGAAACATCTCAGAATTGAATGGTCAGAGATAGAATGTGCCCTTAACAATTGTAATACATAAAACTCTCATTGAATTATTTTGTGTGTATAGAAGGAGTACCCTGTTGTGTTAATTGGTTAACTATTCAAACTCCAAGGCCTTTGAAGTGAAGCAGTAAGTAATTGGATCTTTCTTTACCAAACTAGGCACTACCAGGTTGGTGGTAGATATTTTATCACTTTGAATCCAGAATTTTCGCATGAAAATTCTGTCTCCCAAAAGGTCATGTGCTCTCCTTTAAGCCAAACCTTGAATAACTGTTGTTTCCCAACTGACTGGCACATCTGTCTTGCTATCCAGATTTACCTGGATCCAGGGAATCTAGATTCAGGTTCAAGGGTTCTATTTGTTTGGTTCTTTTATTTTGTATGGCTCTGGACTGTTCATGCACTAGCAATGAAAGTCCTATGTACATGCATGAGCAGCTGTTCGTCTTCTGCACCTAAGTATTATAAATGCTGCAACCCCCCCCCCCCTTTTCATTTATATTTGCATAATCTCCAGCATAACTGTGTGCACTCTTAAATAGTACCCTCCTGGGCCTTACTGGAACAATTTTTGTCTTTCTAGCTTCTGAATATTCAGAGAATTGTTATTCGTGCTGTCCTTTGCTCTCATCATCCCAGATTTTGGCTGATAACAGAGGTGGCTCACTAGCTAGAATGAGCATGGATTGAACTAGAAGAGAGTTCATTTGCAGGTGCTCTTTTATACACACTTGGTAGGGACCCCCATATGTATTTAATGTGGCAATTTTTTAAAAAAGGTCAGGGATTAGTTGTGGGA